AAGAAATGTTTAGCTACCAAGACATGCTATCTATGTCTTGATTTAATACAACTAATCCCTGTTACAACTTTTTTGCCTTCTTAATTTTCCTAATTCAACCAATCCTTTCTTTCTTTGTATCTGGGACACATTTTTTGTTTTTTGTTTTTTTCCTATTCAAATATATGCATATAACAGTTATGAGGGAATTAATAAAATTCCTGAAGTTAACAGCTGTAATTTTTCCATAGAACTTTAAAAGCGATTTTTGAAAATTTAAGAAATCTTTCTCAAGGGCAGTTTTAGCAAGTAGAAAACTGGAACTGACAAAGGCGGAAAATGGCTCAACCCAGTCCTGAATCTTCCAGCCTCAGACTGGATCAACATTTGCCTCAAATGAAAGAAGGCCCAAGTCTCCTAAAGAAAATAAACATTCTCCACAGGCCGTGTGGTGCTGGGAAGGTTCAAAGCTATGAAGTGAAGGGAACAAAGATGAGCTTTTCCTATTTTGCCAAGGCTGTCTCCTCTACTGGTTTCTAAGGGATTTGAATCTTCACTGTTTTGTCTAAAAAGTGTACTACAATAGTTCAAAAATCACAAGAAATGCCTGTCATAATTGAAAAGTCTCTGAAGGCACTAATTTACACATCATTAAAGGAGAAGAGAGACTTTCAAAGTGTACTTCAAAAGTGTCACAGAAGAATCGTTTAGTATCGGAATCGTTGGCAAAAACATTCAGCAACTGTGTCATTTAAATGTTGGTATAATTCAACAAGGACTCATGAGGCCCAGACTTTCCTCCAGCTCATTTAAGAGGATTCTGGCTTGGCTAACTTAGCCTCTTCCCTTCCTCTGCTCTCTAAAAATCCAAACCCTCCCTCTGGACTCTATGAAATAAAATTGTGGAAGGAGAGGAGAAGCTGGAAAAGAAAGGCATGAGGTGGTCAGGGAGGGGTACAGAGGGCCATGGGTCATATGCTAGAATATGACAGAAGGATATGGAAAAGGGAGAATATAGTACATTAAAAGACATCTTTAGAAGATTTCATGGGTTTTGAAATACACAAGCCAAAGAATTATTGTGAAATTACTCTTTGGTGGCCCTGGTACCTCTCGAAGGCCGAGCTACATGGGTTACTGCTTTATTCAAATATATTGAAAGTGTCAATAAAAAATACCAGTTCAGCTCTACATTCTTCACATAGACACAAGATTTGCCAGTTTCCCTTATGCAGATGTTTGCACTTGAGAGATATGTGGAACCTAAATAGTTTAACAAGGTTGAATGCTGGAGCTGGACATTTGAGGTTTGTAGATTTTTCAGATTTTTAACTTCACAATTAGATTTGCTACCCAGGCTTCCAAGGGAGAGAGAAGAGAGGGAAAAATTATCAAGAATAGCATGTTTTCTTTAGGAGAGATGTAATCTAGCACAGTGGGAAACTAATTTACATGTCAGTGTCCACATAGATGAATGGTTCAAAGATGCCATGTCATATGAAAGATTTTTCTCTCCTTCCCAGAAGTACAATAAATTATTTGATAATAAAGAGATTCTGATCTCATAGGAACTTTCAAAATCCTTCAGCTCATGGTTCCTTGCCCTCCTTAAGTCTATTTGTTTATTTCCATTCCTAGGTCTTCCAACCAGCCTAGCTGTAAGTCTAGAGCAGTGGTTCTCAACCAGGTATGAGCTCCCCATCCCACCCTCAGGGGACATTTGGCAAAATCTAGGAACAGTTTTGGTTGTCATGACTTGAGGTAGGTGGGTAAGGATGCTACTGGCATCCAGTGAGTGGAAGCCAGCAATACTGGAAAGCATCCTGCAATGCACAGGACAGCCTCCCACGACGAAGAATGATCCAGTCCCAAATTTCAGTAGTGTCAACACTGAGAAACCCTTGTCTAGAGCCTTCCCTCTGAGATTTGCTTCATGTCCTACCCCTCCAGTCACAGCCTGTTAGCTTCCACCTTCCTGTTATGCTTCTGAGCCAGTCCTTTGCCTTCATTGGAAAGGCTTTCCACCTGGCCTCTTTGTCCTTCCTCATAGTTCAGCTTGGGGGGATCGTGATTTGGGGCCCAGTATAGTATAATAATAAACAATGTGGGCTTTGGGTATAATTTGGATAAGTTCAAGTCCCAACTCCACCACTTACTACTTATATAACCTTGGCTAAGTTTCTTACCCTCTCTGTGCCTCAGTTTCCTCACCTGAAAAAATGTGGATTAAAAATGGTGCCCTACCACAGAGAGCTGTTGTGACAGTTAAATGTGTTAGTATTTGTAAAGCTTTTGGAACGTTGCCTAACACCCAAGTACTTGATAAATGTTAGCAGCTTTTGTTCTTTCTCGAAAGCCCACTAAGTTCCACGTCCTCCAACTCACTTTCCTCCTGTCTACCCCGAGTCCAGGAAGAAAGTAGTATTTCACTTATGATGGTTTCTCTCAGATGTTTGCCGAAGCTGTGAGTCATTTCCATTTTCCTCATGGCTAGGGTTTCTAAATGTGGAAAGGCAGGAAGTACTCTGCTCTTCTCTCTCTGGTTTTGACTACCCACATCCCCTCCCTGAGGCAAAGAACACTTGGCAACATGAAGGTGGGCAGGGCAAAGAAGAGAAAGGGCAAATATTTCAAAACCTTGTCCTGGATGACACACAATTCTCAGTCTGTAGGTGGAAACTGATGAGTAAATGGATGAGAGAATAAGTACCTCATGGCCGATGCCTGATTCCCTAGCATGGGTGACCACATGGATTGTGGTGTCTTTCACAGTATTGGGAATTGCAGAAAGAAAACAAAGTTCAGGGACAAGCAAAGTTCGGTGTTGCCCATGAGTTTTTCAGTGCTTATAGGAAATGGAGATACAGAAACCCAAGAGAAAGAGGAGTTTATGGATCCAATCTCAGGAGAAAGATTAGAACTAGCAGTACAGATTTAGGGCTTTTCAGCAAATAAATAGTAGTTGAATCGATAAGAATATAAAAGATTATATAAAAAGGAGTTAGCTGAGTCAGGAAAGCAGTTTCTGGATGAATGGATGAAAGGATAAACAGATGGATGTGTGGATGAGCAGAACAAGGAGGAAGATAACACAGAGGCAGAATGAGGACCAGGAAAGGATTATGTCACAGAACCCAAGGGAGTCAACAGAGTCAGATGTTACAGAGATCAAGTAAGATAAAAACTGAAAGTGTCCGTTGAATATGGCAATAGAGACGTCATTTTTGCCTTGGTGAAAACAAGGTCATTAAATTATATGAAGACAGAAGACATATGGTAGCGTGAGCAGAGAACTAGTGTTTCTAGTAAACTGCAGAAATATATCTTCAAGAAATAACCTTCTTTACAGTTTTCTGATGAGTTTAATTTGGTCTTAGGTTATTTTATATATGATTTTTTTGGGTGGACAGTGGTTGGATTATTCTTTTCCTACATTGTTTCCTCAGATGATCAGCAAGAATGCTTTACATTAAAATAATTAACACCAATCCAGTCTGGTTGACCTGTGACACCTCCCCTAAAGAGTTGCTTGTCTCTTGGAACTCTTCATTAGCAGCATTTTGCTCTGAGCCCCACTTCCTGGATTCTTCTCATTAGTAGACAGTAAGGAGTGGTCTCAGTCATTGGTTCAATAAATGTGTATTGTGCCTTGCTTTAGGCCAGGCACTATTCTAGGTGTTTGGACTCCATCAGAGGATACAACACAGAACCTTGCCCTCATAGCATTTATATTTCAGAGGTGCACACTAATAGGGAGTGACTTAAATTATTTTTAAACATCCTTGAAGTGAAATAACACAAAATGATACACATCAAAGATGGAATGAGAAATGTTTCATTCCTGCTGCTTTATCGTTTAAATCTTAATCCTGCCTATCACGCCAAGTTGTTTCGAATATTGAATTTTATCAGATTTTTTTTTGAAAGTGCATGGAAGCACTTTTTAAAATGAAAACTTCTGTGTAAGTCTAGGAGAGTGATGATAATATCGTCACCACCACCACCACCACCACCACCACCACCATCATCATCATCATCATCATAGACCCCATTACCCACCATAGTCTGTTAGTCATTTCAATTCTATAGACCAACCCTGGAAAAACATTGAAATGTTTTGGTGGAGGGGGGAACCTAAAGATATTCTGTTTGCATTTTTCATCATAATGTTATGTACAAAGTTTATAAACATTATATATTATGTATACATTTCATAGTCAAACATATGTTAAATGACTCAATTCTATGTGATACAGAGATACTCAGGGATAAGTTTGCAAAGCAGCTTGGATTAATACATAAGGCACTAAAATAATGAGCTTTTATTTGCAGGGAGCTATATTGATGACACTAATAAATCATATATTAGGCTGAATGATGGATATAAACTCTTATTCCTGCTTGTGGCAATGCAGTATCTGTAGGGGCGGGGAGGGGGTCAAAGAGATTCATGAGTTCTGCTTTGGGAAATGCTTGAAGGGCAAAACTACAATATAGAAGATGGAAAAAAAAAACCCCATAGTTTGTCCTGGCTCGTCCTATTTAGATACTTTAAAAGTTATGGGGTATGAGTTGTGTGAAACTGTTACCCAGCTTCAGGCCTGTTTTCTCTAATCTTGCATCCCATTCAAACATTCGAAAATGCCCTTTTGCACTCTTTTAATTATCCTATCTGTTTGAATCTTCCAGATCATAAGGCCTGTGGATTCTCTGCCCCAAAAGATCATCAAGTAGTCACAGCGATAGAGTATCAAGGTAGAGTACCTTACTGATTTTCATGGGCTGTGTTGTTTAAAGAACTCACCAGGGTGGCATGTGTGTCTGTCTGTGAGAAACCTCCACCTCTCTTCACACTGACTCCTCTGCCTCAGAGGCTGCTCCCTGCTGCGGTTTCCACCTGAGAACTCTCTCTCCACCTCCTCAGTGGAAATTCTGGACATTCCACGAAAGACCTGCTGTACAAAGAAGGTCTCTTATTACATAAAGTACCTGCAACAAAGCCAGTCTAATTTGTAAAACTGGGAGGCAAAGATCTCGCAAAGTTTCCAACCAGCTAGATTTGGCAAAGGGAAATTAGCACTGCAAACCCTTTGTATTTAAGATGCAAAACTCCATGTATTTAAGGTAACATTGATATATCCTATTTGGAGGTATCGTTTTATTATTTATTTTAGCTGCTTAAAATATTTATAAGGGATAAGTTGGTATTTAATGGGTATAAAGTATCAATTTTGCAAGATGCAATAGTTCTGGAGTTTGATCGCACAACAATGTGAATATATTTAATGCTACTGAACTGTATAGTTAAAATCATTAAGATGGTAAATTTTAAGTGATGTGTATTTTATTACAATTTAAAAAATCTTGTAAAGCTCTAATAACCAAAAAGAATTATAAGCTTTTATAAATTTACTTCAAATATTGACAGTCTACTACTTTTCTGAAGGATCTTTTACCTACAACACGTTAATAATAGTGGACAACCAGGATTACTGTTTCTTAAATACAATGTTTCTTTAGATCATAAGCACTTCAGAAACAGGTTTCAAATGTCCGATCCCTCTTCTTCAGGCATGCCTTATGTTCTGGAGTTGGAGAGAGAGAGGTTTGGAGTAAAGAGACAAAGATTAAAAAAGAGGGCTGGGGCGAGGAGGAATTAAATGAACTACTGTTTAACCAGTGCTTACAGGAGTGCCTGGCGTCTAGCAAGTTGTTCTCCGTGCTTGTTGAGTAAAAATATACTGTAATAAGAACCAGCCTGTCATTCACTTTAAGTAAGTATTTAGGTTAATCAGTTTCTTTTAAGTCCTAATAGTTTACATGATTAAGCTAAGAAAACACTTACTCTTCATCAGGAATTAGTCTGAAATGGGGAGAGGCGGGGAAAAGGAATTAATGATTGGAAGTAATTTGGGAGAATGGAGTACTTATAGGGAAGAAAAACAGGGCTGGGTGAGGTGCCCAAAAGGAGACTGGAAAAGCCAATGACTGAGCACAGTGCAAGGAAAAGGTAGGTCAGGATGTCCACGTGGGACAAAGGAAATGAAGTTAATTTCTCCTACTTTTATTTTCCGGGAGGTTCTTATTGTTGGGTCCAGCTGGATACTGTGCATATTCGTCCCTGGATCCCCAGGCCCTATGCCAAGATACCTGAATTAGGATGCCAAAAGTATACTCTTGAGTCTTAACATTACTTTAAAAAAAATGTATCAAGGAGAAATTCACATAACAAAACCCATCATGTTAAAGTGAACAATTCAGTGGCATTTATTACAACCACAGTGTTGTGTGAGCACCACCTCTATCTCATTCCAAAATGTTTCCATCACTTTAAATGAAAATCCTGTACCTTTTATATCACTTTAAAATGTGTGTTTTATTTTTAATATAGAAAATCCTTCTATATTTTTTGCCATCAAACGTTGGTCTTTTTTTACTCCCAAATAAGTGTTTTCTATTTTTTTGGTTTCACCTCTGCTCCTTTTTAATTAAAAATTAAATGTAATTTTTTTTATTCTATTTTATATGTGCTCCAATCATTCCGACATGGCTTTCCAGAAAGCAAAATTAATTTCTATCTTCTTCCACATTTCACGTCTAGGATATTTTACACAGTAACTTAATTTTACTTAAAGTCTGAAATATTTTATGATTTATGTATCTGCATATGTGTGTTCCCCCCAATTCATTCAATTTTTTTGTCTCTTGTCTCTCTGATGCCAGTCAATCATAAATTAATTAATTCCTTCTTTTCAGTATGGCTTTTCTCTATCACTTCCCACAGTGATGCCAAAAGCAAATCGAGTAAAATGAGGTCTGCTCTGCTAGGCTTATAAATAACATGAGTCGCCTTACACAGAGGGTGTTCAACCCTGAGAGCGATAAATCAGAATTTAACAGCATGCTTTTCTTCACAGAGGTAATTTATGCTAATTCTTCAGAGCTACTTTCATAGTCTCCATTCTCTTCTTGCATTATGTAAGATTTTTGATGATTTTTAACCGGAGCACAGAGAATAAAATCAAATAAAAAAAAAAGAACATTTTAAAAAAATCAAATGATAGTCAGCAATATAGAATCTTAGAAAAATTAAAATTCCTAATGTTTCTACGTGACTCCTCAAAGTGATTCTTTTGCTGCATGTTGAAAACATGCGTTTTCTAAACAAAGAATTCTCTCTTCTCAATCCAGACTGAAACAGATATTTTTGGCAATGTAATGATCATCTTAAGAGAAAAACTTGGCGCATTTTTTTTCTGTGTTAATATGCCTACTTGGACAAAGTATGATTTATGTTTGTATTATTTTCTTTGTTGTCTCAAACACAGGCAACATTTTAGTTCAGATCTGAGTAATTTGAGGGGGAAATTTGTGATGGTATTAAGTATGGATTTCTATCATGTCAAGACAAGCTTACAACTCTAAGTAAGAGAAGTGCCTCATGGGTGAGAGTGATACTGACCATTTACAGAGCATGTACTTTCTACAAAGTACCATGTGCACAATCTTTACACAACTTTGTGGGATGTGTACTGTTGTTCTAATTTTTTAAAAAACCTAAACAATTTGCTCAATATTACTCATCTAGTTTATGACAGAGGTCTAACTCCAAAACCCATGCCTTAAACTCTATTATGAATATGGTATAGTAACCCTGGGGGCTAGATACAGAAATTCTGCTGGCCAGAACGTTGAATTTTGGCTGAAATAGAAAGGAGAGTCCATGGTAGTTGGCTCTAAGTTCACTTAGTTCTTTTTCCTGAGATGTTGACCCTATGATTCCAGTAGATTTACTGTTTCTCACAGTTTTGGAGGTCAAGGTAGTCCCCTGCTTGGAACACTCCCAGAGAACCACATGGAAAATTCTAAATTCAAATTCCTTCTTTTAAAGTCATTGGTCAAATGTCACCTTCTAAATGAGGTGAACTTTGACTATTCTGTTTTTTTAAATCGCACCCCCGTCCCCCAGCATTCCCGAACTTCCTGTACTCTGACCTACTCTACGGTATTTCCATAGCCCTCATGACCTTTTAACATACTGTACAATTCACTTTATGTTGTTTCTTCTGTGTCTGACCCCCTGCAAATTCTAAGGTCCCAAAGGGCAGGAAACTTTGGTTTGCTCCCTGTTCTAGCTGGAGGACAGTGTCAGACACATAGCAAGTACCCAATATATTTTGGACAAACTGAGTAGACCATTTCTCCACATTTTATATGGTCAATGAGACTGAGGCAGGAGGGGAGTGACTGCACTCAAGAAAACCATTGGTTACATTTTGTAATATAATTTCTGCAGAGGTTTTCCACAGAGCAATGAGGATAGGAATCAGGAAGAATTCACAAAAAGGAGTGTGTGTGTCTAGGTAAATATATGAAACAATGTGATTATTTGATAAATTTATTCCTAAGACCTAGGAGTATGGGCAAAATAATGAGTGTGGGTGTGTGTTTAATTGTGGGAAACTCAACAAAATACGGGAAGGAAACCTATCTAAAACTCAAGACTCCGGAAAACCACCGCCCATTCTCCTTAATCAACAGCACAGAACCCTGCTTCCTCAGACAAGTCCCACAGCACACATTTGTCTGTGCGGCATAATTGTAAACATGCCTGTAAAATGATGTCTGTTTGTAATGTAAAGCCTGCTTTCAAACTTTAGGCCTCCTTGAAAGCAACTTTTGGATTTTTTTCCCTTGCCTTTCTTTTCTCTGTCTTACTTTCTGCTTTCCATTACTTATTATTCTATTTCTATATTTCTAGCAATATGTGTGGAACTAAAAATAAAATTTGAAACTACATGTAACAGAAAAAATCGTAATTCTGTCCCACAGAAATCACCTCTGGGTTGATATTTTCATACATATTCCTACAGGCTTTTGGTCTATGTCTATATGTATATTTTTAATAAAACCTGGGATAAATATTTATAAGTATTGCTCTCTACTCTACTGTATCATGTGGTATCCTGAATTATTGTTTTTAATGGCATTAAATCTGCTTAACATCAAAATCAGAGATATGGAAAGAATTTTTACATAATTTCACTTCTCATAAAAGATACTGGGTTTTTTAGGTCAAACTATGCATTTTGGAGGGAAAAAAAAGTCTTAGAAATAGGAAGGTGACACTCTAGAGAGCCTGGCTGAAAGGTATTTTTAAAAGATTTAGGACTAGAGGTTTCTATGTGGCACCTTGAAGCAGCTGGCAGACAGGTCCCGGGCTGCTCCTCCCTCAGTCACCTTGTTTGGACAGTTAAGAGAAGGGGTTCGTTCCTTGGGTGGTTCCAGGAATTCTTCAACAATGCAACTGCAGTAAATTTCCTGTGGTAAAGGGACCTTGGGGAGCTATACTGAGGCAGTTAAACTTGATGCCAAGATTAGACCTTTTAATAACTTTTCTGGACTGAGGAGAGGAGTAGGAGTCAATCATTTATTAGAAGACCATACTGGGGGAGCATGCAGCTTAGTGGTAGAGTGTGTGCTGAGCATGCACAAGGTCCTGGGTTCAATCCCCAGTACCTCCATTTAAAAAAAAAAAAAAAAGACCGTATTGGGTTTGTATTAATGTATTTGCAGAGTTATTATCAAAGAAGGGATCTGAGGGAGAATGTAGCGTGTTGAAGGGACGTTTGGGGTGGGTTCCACAGCGTGGCCTGGGCTAGACTGAATGCCTCTCCTCAGCACTAGGTGTGAAGCCCCCACTGCTCACCTCCGTCCTGGCCCTCGTCACATTGGACTGAAATGACATTATCTTATTTATCTCTTCTACCAAACTATAAACTTGTAGACTGAGACTGGGAAGAAAAAGAGAAATAATTAATCATAGCTGCCACTTGTCAAGGACTTACCGTGGGGAGGCTTGGCATTTATTATTGTATCTGAAGACTCACAACAACTCTGTGACTTACTTCCTTATTTTACAGATGGTCGCTGAGGCTCAAGAGCTAGGGAAGGTAGCGTGGTGTCACAGATAATTATGTGCAAGAGTCATAACGCTTTCAGTTCATCTTTGAATTAAGCCAGCCTGGTACCTGGTGAGGTAACTTGTGAATGAAAGAATGAACGAATTAAAATATCAAAGGATAATTTAAGGATGTTAAAAAGTTTATTAAATAAGTAAAATATAACTTCACAGGGACAATTAGAAAACAAGCATTTTTGTTGTTGTTCCTAGAGGCTATTTTAGCCTGTAAATACCCAAAGAAGGCCGTCTCCTCCAGACTAGAGTGGAAGAAACTGGGGCGGAGGGTCTCCTTTGTTTATTATCAACAGGCTCTTCAAGGTAAGAAGCTGGGGACCTGACGAGGTGAGAATAAGAGAGGGCCGAGTACCCCAGATCCTTTCTTTAACCAGCGAGAGCAGGATGTGGCTGCTGACTGAAAATGTGTCTCTGTAAGTGTGAGATGAAACTAACAGGGACTGAGACCCAAATCACAGCAGCCACCACAACAGAGGACAGGGAACAGAAGTAGGTGGACTCCATGGTGGCCCTGGACCCCTCATTTCTCAGCTCACTCCTAGAGGATATAAGGTGTAATTGTTCTCGCTGGCCCAGTAGGTTAAACTCTTGAGAGCAAAGAAGAAAAGATGGTGTGGGGCTGGGATGGAAGGTCACTGCTTAGCTGTGATAATTCACCCTGTTTCCGTATCACCACCGAGAAAGCCATCACTGAGAAGCCTAGGGAGGTAGGACTTAGTGGAGGGTAAATACAATTAACTTTATCTGGCACTTTCTTTTTAAAATTGTTTATTTGTTAGACATTTCTTTACACTCCTACCCTTATTGTTGGATATATAAGCTTTAATTTAAAGTGTTGATAATGATGAATGAAATACAGTGATGTCTGGGATTGGCTTAAAATAATCCAGTGTTTAAAGGCACCAATAAAATAAGATAGGCCATGCATTGATGACTGTTATAGTTGGGTGATGGGAACACCGAGGTTTATTTTACTATACTCCCTAATTTTGTGTATACTTGAAATTCTCCATTATAAATATTTCAAAAGTTGGTGCTATAACTTAATAACTGTTATGAATGTGTTATTATTTTAAAATACCATGTGTTACTTTCATTTTAGAGAATTAAACAAGTGAACAAATGTTTAAAGTTCATAGAAAATTTAAAATATCCCTCTGGTTCTTATCTGTCAAGATAGACCACAGACAGCAGGGAGATAATAGAACAGCTGTCTTTTCTTGAATTTTCTATAATTGTCAATCTGGCACCTGAACGTCATACAAAACACGATTTGAATTTCATATACACGGCTATCAAAAACCAACCAAAAGAAGGTGGTAAAATAACCTTGTCACCTCTTCTGTGGCAGCATGGTGTGAGCCACCACACATAAAGTTACCATCCCAGCTAATTGAACTAGGCTCTGCAGCATCTTTTGAAGATATGAATATTTTTATAAGCATCCTAGAAAGGGGAGGGGGGAGGACTGAGGACTGAATTCCTTAAAGTAAAATATGGGAATATGGAACTGAACGTTCTTTTGTGAACAGTATGACATTATAAGAAAAAGAAATTTGAAATAGCACTCATATATAATTTTTAAGTTTTTCAATTGAGCTAATAGGAAAATAAATGTGTTGGTTACTGAGAGATGAAAGGAAGGTAGCAGACAGAATGTTATTGCATCGTTATTAATGTCATTGTCTTCTTTTTCTAAAAGGTGATTTTAAAGATCGAGCTGAGATGATCGATTTTAGCATCCGGATCAAAAATGTTACAAGAAAGGATGCTGGGAAATACCGTTGTGAAGTCAGTGCCCCAGCTGAACAAGGTCAAAACCTGGAAGAGGATACGGTCACTCTAGAAGTATTAGGTGATGTGCTTGTATCTGTGTGATTACTGTTCCCCACCCTTGTCCCCCTCACCCAGCCCTGGGGCGGGGACACAGTTGGGGCCAGGAAGGTAAAGTTATAAAAGCGGACCACCAGCACCACCTTGCCTGAAAAAAATTTTGGCTATTTTTCCTCTTCACCTCATTGGCTGCTGAAATGTTACTGTTATTAATTAATTAGGACAAAATCTCTTTTCACTTACAATTGAAATAAATCTTAGTGGTCCTACACTGTATGTAGAAGCATTTTCCCCAAGGGTTTATCTTTCGGTTGCTTTCAGCATATGTCGTAATTCTTTTGCCATATAAAATGTCTCAAGTGAGATGATAGAAAAGCAATAAAAGCAAAAAGTAGACCAGAGAAGGACAGAAGTCTTTTTGGTAAAGAAAGGAAACTAACATTTACTGTGCAGCTAGTATGTGCTGGGCTCTTTCGTGTATGTGATTTTACTTAATCTTCATTGACAACCTGAGTTTTACAGATGAGGAAATAGATGCTAAGTGGTTCTCCCAAGGCTGCCCAGCTAGTTAAGTGTCTGGACCAGGCTTTGGATCCTGATGGGGTTAACTCCAAAGCTAATACATTTAGTTACTCTAAAAATCACTGATACAGAAAAACAAAAGAAAGGGGAAAAGAAAAAAGAAAAAAACAACTGATGGATAATAACCGCCCAGCATGACAATTGGTGGAGGAACATGATCTGTTCTGCTCCACAGGTGTTGGTATTAACTGCCAAGCAAAGAGAATAAATAACTCCTTTTCCTTTTTCTACATAGTCCAGGCTCGTTCTCAAATACTAGCACTACACTAGTAGAGAAGAAATTTAAATCGGTAAAACTTGCAGAAGATTCAGCAGGCGTCTTCTGTTGCTCTAGAACAAATGATCAGAAACTTGGAGCTTAGAACATGGCTGGGTTCTCTGCCCAGGGTATCTCGGGGCACAGAGATCAAGGAGTCAGCTGAGCTGCATTCTTGGCTGGAGGCTCTGAGGGGACAATCTGCTGCCAATGTCAAGCGCATTCTTGTTGTTAGCAGATTTCAGTTCCTTGGTTGCAGAACCAAGGTCCCCATTCCAGGCTGGCTATCAGCTGGGGGCCACACTCAGTTCCTAGAGCCACCACATTCCTTGCCACGTGGTCCTCCCCATCTACAGTCTAACAAAAGTGTGTTGCATCCTTCTTGTGTTTTGAATCTCTGCATTTCCCTTCTGTTACCAACCAGAGAAAACTCCTTTGAAAGAGGTCATGGGATTAGATCAGACCCATGTAAGTAATCTTTCTATCTTAAAGACAATAGATTTAGGACCTTAATTACAACTCTAAAATCCCTTCAGAGTATTTAGATTAATGTCTGACTAAATAACTGAGAGAAACTATATAAACACCAGGGCCGGGGATCTTGGGGGCCCAACTGTGTTAGAATTCTGCCTATCACAGACATGACTGGGGCGTCCTGGATTTAAGTAAAGTCTGGTTTACAAATCCCTGGGACAGGAATAACCCTAACACAGCTATTCTCTGTGCTGGCCTGAACAGGATTTTAGTTTTGAGTACTGGTCCTGAAAATATCCTCAAGATTGACTTATTTAAATATAGTTGGTAATAATACATTAAAACCATTGGGGAGGGGAGAAGCAGAGATTGTTTATCTAACAAAGAATAGCTGTTGTAGTAGCTAATGTAACGTTTGCTAATTATAACACGTCAGCCCTGAGTGGCTTACATAATAGAAGTTTCTTTCTCATGTAAGCAAAGTCTAAGTAGTTGGGCCAGAGATAGGTAGTGGTGGAATTACATTGATCTACTTCACGAAATCATTAGAGACCCAAGCTAATGTAGATCTGGCGTCTTTACTACATAGCTTTCTGAGGTCACCACACATACTTGGTAGTGGAGGGGTGAGGAGAATGAGTGATGGAGAATTATACTCAGGCTGGGGAATAGCATGTATCTCTTTTCCCCACGTTCCATTGGCCGGAAGTCATGCAGGTGACCCCATCTGGCTGCAGAGGGGCTAGCAAATGTGCTCTAGCTGTGCGCCTATGAAGAAAGGAGACAGGTCTCTATCACAGACGTCCAATAAGTCCATCTTCACTTGGCTGTTAAAACCCGCGTTTAGCTTGTCAATAACCAGTACCATCTGCCGTCCATCCTCCAGTGGCTCCAGCAGTTCCGTCATGTGAAGTACCCAACTCTGCGCTGAGTGGAACTGTGGTAGAGCTGCGATGTCAAGACAAAGAAGGCAATCCAGCTCCTGAATACACGTGGTTTAAGGATGGCATCCGTTTGTTGGGGAATCCCAAACTCGGCTCCCAAGGCACCAACAGCTCATATACAGTGAACACAAAATCTGGAACTCTGGTAAGGTCATTTCAAGCGTTGACCTAATAACTGTCTTGCATTTGGAAAGAGAAATTATTAGAACTGAAGTGATGGAGAACAGAAGGCTGATACCGTTGCTTGTTAAGTAGAGAAAGGAAGGGGTAGCAGGAAAGATGACGGTGCTCGCACAGAGAAGTGATGGGAAAAGCTGCCCCAGGAGATGGGAAGACAAGACAGAGACCTAGGGAGCCGGGCACACCGAGGTCTGTGCCAGGGACCTGAAACAGGCTGGCATGGATTCATGGTGATGGATCAGGCCAGGGAAGGTACTAAGTGTGTTCATTTTTATAATATCAGGGAAGTTCAACGAACACTTAGGGACACGCTGACCTCAGTGCCAGCCACGTGAGAATAGTGACTGTTGCTAACCTATGATAGGATGTCTGTGTCATTAAACTGTGCCATGGCTAGTTCGTCAGCAACGGACTCTGTGACTTGAGTATCTGTTGCTTTGGATTTAGGCAGATTGTCTGATGACTGAAAAGCCTTTCTAAGGAATCCTACTGGAAATCTAGAAATAAATTCTTCAAAGTTAATGACATTTTTACTGCTTTGTCCCTGACTTTTTAGGGTAGAGATGAGGAGTTTACAAAAAAGATCATTAAATTTGAACCTTTCTATGTTTTAAAAAAAAAATTTGAGGCTTTTTGTTTTTTTCATTCAAAATAATATGTCAGTTTAAACATGTCTGACTTCCAGCGATGCAGACTCACTAGCATCACTATAATCAAAGAATCTTAAAGGCATGGTAATAAAAATTTTAATGAATTTTATAAGGATGGTCTAATGTTTCCTTTCATTCCTTCAGTCTCCAAGTGCACAATGATATTTAGAAACTGGATCCCCTGGTAACTAATCAAGCGTATTGATAAAGTGACTTAAAAAATCAGCATCTCAGCTACTCCTGAAGGAAGGAGGCCCTGCCCTGGCCCTGCCCAGTCAGCAGGCTCAGTCAGCAGCTCCGAGTGATCTTTACACCGAGAAATTGGGCAGAAAACCTGCAGTCACACTTGGCTATATTTACTTTTCAAATTTAGTTTTTCTCAGAGCAGGTGCTAAAAAGCCCCAACGCAGGTCTGAGATGAAATAGATTCACTTTCCTCAGTCAACCTCAACCCTTGAAATATCTGTGATGTCAAAGGGAGGCACCAGGGCAGAACCAGGATGGGTTATTTTCTGAGAAACTTGCCAAACAAAGACTCTGTGTGGATGACAATGGCTCCTTTTTAATCACCAGTTATGTGCTGGGAGATCATTTCCAGTTTGAGCCTAGCTTGTGGTTTATACATAACCTTGGCTCTGAGTTCATGGTGAATGGTTTGTAAAGAAGTCTGGCTTTGAGGGTTGATTCCATATGGTGAGAATACACAAGAGAAGCTTTCTGTTGCACCATGTTGAGGTACACAGGAGGAAGAGGGGTGTCAGTAGTGGGTAAGGAGAAGAGGAGAAGGCTGTTTTCAGGAACATACCTCATGTGTGGGTACCAGACAGTGAGGATGTGCTCCTTAGAGGATCATGGCCTCTCAAGGATGCAGACAGTGGTGACCACTGCGGTTTTGAGGGTGTGAATGGAGGGTGCTGGAAGGATGATTCTCACCCTCTGTGCTGGTCCTGGCAGGATCCTTTAAAGTGGCCAGGACACACTGCATTTCCTCCCTCCTAACTAACTAACTTCTGGCCTTCCATCCATCTATCCATCCATCCATCTATCCATCCATCCCTCTACCCACCCTTCTTTCCTTCCTTCCAGAAATTTTCCAAGATGCTAACACTGCTAGTAACAATTATGAAGCTTATTGTATCAAAGTCTTATCTTTCAGTTGCTTTGGCAGGGAATAGATGGAGCAAGGGTTACACTTGATCTTTTCAGAATTTTCAAAAATTCAACGGCTGATGGAATTTATAATCCAGTAAACAGCATTGATTAAGGCTTTCCTAGGCCCTAAACTACTGTCTTTAGAGGAAGTGTTCATTGTTGGCTGCTGCCGTAAACTTACTTGTGACTTAGAAAACTGTTCTTTAAGGCCAGCAAGGCCTTCATTTATAAATGGTGTTTCCTAGGAATTAGAAATGCCTAGAATACTGAACACTACCATGTGCTGTAAACTTTAAAAAATGCCTACTGCCTTCCTAACGTACTGCTTTCTCAGTATCACACACACAAAAAGACACTTACCCATATCTGTTTAAGTCTTTCTCTGTCAAATTAGACAGGAGGCCTAGCTAATTACTCCTTGAAGGAGTGGCAGGTTTTTAAATTCTCAGCAAAGGTATAATAAAGTCCTAAGTCATTAAAAAGGAAAGACTAACAATGCTAAATTTAAGGAAAACAGTTATTTTAGGTGTCTATTGATAGATGTATTGCTTAAAAACATACTTATTTTTCTTCCCCAAATAGCAATTTAATACTGTTTCAAAACTGGACAGTGGCGAATACGCCTGCGAAGCCCGTAATTCCGTTGGACACCGCAGGTGTCGTGGGAAACGAATGCAAGTAGGTAAGCACGAAACAGTGGGAGGGATGAATCGTTTGCAGTTAGAACATGCAAATACCATATTCGAGGGTGGAAGGAGCAAGGGGTAGGTAAGGGCTGAGAGATTTGAAGGATCAATAGGATAAATGTTTAAAATCAGCTTGACATAACGTGTTACCAAGAGCAAAGATGCTGTTTCAATCCAGCTTCCAAACAAGCCAAGGAGACTTATCTTTATATTTTACAGATTTTTTAAATTTTTCAAGTATTATTTTTAAAATATGCTCATCTGAGAAATCCTCCTTCAAACAAAAACTAAGAGTCTTGTAAATTGCCCGGGGTCAAGGATTTGGAGCAGGGGTTCAAATCCTGGTTCTGCTTTTTCACTGTATGCTCTTGGGCAAGTTAATTACATAGTAATATACCGTCCTCATAGGGTTGGTGTGGAGATTCAAATAATTAATATTCAAAAGTGTTAGAAGAATGGCATTGGCATATTGTGAGCTCTATCTAAGTATTGGCTATTTTAACTGTTAATTTTCTCAACCCCCTGAAATACTATGCTTGTACTTATCTCAGAGTAATCACCCCAAAAGACATGTTAAATATGGTTATGGATCTAGTTTGCTATAAAACATAGCTGCCATATATTATATTTCACAAAACAAGCTTCTTAGAGTCCAATAAAATTTGGGCCCAAGAATCTCTTCCGATTAGATGAGTTTCAGAGCAAACTTCTTTCTCATTTTATTTTTAGTAATTTGGTTGAATTCTCTCTTGTATGTGTTTTGAAAACGATTGTGTAATAGAGAGGGGTGAGCTGGAGGTGGCACCGAGGGGTGAACGATCACTCAGGGAGGCTGTGTCCGGAAGCAGAAGATTGAGGGCACCCCTCAGTTCAGGAGCCTGTCCTCAGCTTGGTGGAGTCAGAAATTCATTTTTTTCCAATGCGTTTTGAGGTATACAGACATGTGGGCATAGTTTGTATTGTCTGTGCACAGTTAAATTCTCAGCATAATTTTTTTAAAGAAAACATAATCTTGTTAGACTTCAGGATCTCCTAAAGTAGAAGATATTCAATCGAATACTCTCATTTCCACAAGTAAGTTTGAATTTCAGGTCTTCTTAAAATTCAGGGATACCTACCATTAACCAGACTCATTCAAGTGCTGACATTTATAGTCAAACATAAGCATTTGCTTAAATTATCAGAAAAAATCTCTCAATGCTGCTTTGGAGTTAATAGAAAAATTCATATTACTTTTTAGTTTTTCTTTAAATGATTGTGTTTAATTTCAAAGCCTGATTTAGCCTCATCTTAAGAAATATTATTTGTGAAGTCATGGTTTTGACATACTAGTTACATTTTCGTAGCATGCAGTAAATAAATACATGACAAAATTTAGAAGCCTGTGTTTCACTAATAGTATCATTTTAATTTGAACATGATTTCCACATATCTACCCTTTCTGGTAAAAATTGGCTTCAGAGTTAAAATTATTTTGTTTAAAGCTCATCCATTGATCCTAGGTGTTCACACCCTTGGTATGGAATTCACATCTTTGGAAATACATAATTCATGCAGTTGCATTTCCAGTTTTGTGAGTTATCACCAATAACTTATAACCAAAACCAGATCTGTTAACCGTTCTAACTAAATCCTTTTTGAAATGTAGGAAGAGAGAAAATCATGGATTTGCTGATTGTTCCCGAGCTGCTTCATTGTACAACTCCAGAAGATTCTACTCACACTTAGCATTTTAGCATTTGGTTCCTTTCCTTTCGATTAGAATAGTGATACCTTCCTTTTATCGTGATTTTTTTTTAAGAAAGAACAATATTTTCATATGTGTTATTAAATTTTCTCTTTATGAGGCATAAGGTGGGCATATGACTTGCTCAAAAACTCACAGTAAGCGGCAAATGGGATGAACACAGTTTACCTCTAACTTAGAAGTCTTCCATCTTCTATTGAAGAAAGTAAAATAATATTTATACCACGACTTAGTACTGACAGGGTAAGAGCTTTTTTGGTTAGAATTTGCCTTTAGCTTGAACCCTGCATAGATGTCAAATTCATTGACTATTACAAAGAAAACAGTAGGTACACAGTTTGGTTCTCAGGAGTTTTATTCAGTTACTAATTTCATTTTGCCTTAGACTATGACTACTGTGGATTTTTTTCCCTCTCTGTTACTATTTTACCCAAGTGAATAAATAGCTGAATCTCAACCTCCCAATACCAAAGCAAATATGAACTGAGTTTATACCAAGCAATAATAATTAATGTCTTTTCTTCTAGTCAAATTACTCAGCCTTCCAAAGGATTTATCCCTTTTAAAAAAAATTAGTTAATATTTGAGAGGTAGCTGAAAAAATTAGTAACATTTGGCATTAGGAAAAAATTTAAGACCAGGAAGTTTTATGATAAGCAGACTCACTTAAATAATATTTCTTAAAAAATCTTTCCCCAAATGTGCACTGCTTTAAAATATCTAAAATTACTATTGAGAAAATGCTATCTAATATTTTCTCCAACTTATTATTTAATTGTATGTTAATAAATACTTGCTTTTTAAAAAAGAACCCTTTTGTTCCTTTAAAAAGTGTAGGCTATTTGCATATTAATCAATACATAAGAAGTGTTTAAATGATGGAAAAGTGTGGCTCATATGAAATCCTTATGGACAAGATGGAAAAGTGGAACCCAAATTAAACGTGTAGATGGATTCACAAGTAGTTGGATCCCTCACCCAGAGCATGCTAGTAAATTTTGTTATATGACGAGAGATGTCTAATAGCCTATTAAATAGTTCTTTCCCAAAGTCATGTTTATCATTTTATTAATGACTTGAATGAGAGTATTTCTGATGCATTTCCCAGCTGCAGAAATGTTAACCTCAGAAGGTTAATCATCTCATTCTTGGGCAACTGAATCAGTAATTGGAAAAACCTCACAAGTTGATAATGTGGTAGTGATTTCAAACTTAGGTTCAAAAAAGTGCAGTTATGGTCGGTTGGAGGAAAGATGACTTAGTAGCAACAGGAAAAAGCCTTGGGGAGTTTAAGTAATTTTTAACTTAATGGGATAACAGTTTTACAGCATATATGTATGTGGGTGTGTATGTGTTCGCATGTGTACACACGCACACACCCACATAAATTCAAGAAAGATGTTTCTGACACGTAGTTTTATAGAACAACAGTGCTTTCTTTGGGGCTGGATGAGTTTTCCATATTTGGGAAATTGACACAGATGATGATGTAGAGGAATTTTAAGTAAAATTTGAGGGGAGTGAGGCAGTAGAATTCTTGAACTCACTGAACTTCAAAGCTCACTTCCAACCTGATATTTAATCGTATAGGATTACATCTCCACATGAACACAAGAGAATGCCATACATTTTTTTTTCCTTCTGGCTCATAGAACTTTTTAAAATTTAAGATTCTTGCAAAAATTAGGTTAAATTTTCAATCAATTTTGTACCACGTCCTGGAAATGAGTGAGTTGAACAGGCTTCAAAAGCATGAAACTATCCACATTTATGGTATAGCTCCGAAAGGGAGCTTTTCAGAGCTTTTTCAGTTTAATGACTCCATCTGTCCATCTCTGTGACACGAATTCATGCATGGTTTATTTTGCATTCCAGATGATCTCAACATAAGTGGCATCATAGCAGCCGTAGTAGTTGGGGCCTTAGTGATTTCTGTCTGTGGCCTCGGCGTGTGCTATGCTCAGAGGAAAGGCTACTTTTCAAGTAAGTGAATTTCACTCTTTGCTAGACAGCTTCCTGCAGATATAGAGTTTTCTTATGAGTCACTGTTTCCCCTAAGAAGTTCTCACAAACTCTGGAGAGTATTTTTCACTGATTTTTCTGTGGTAGAAAATATTCCAGATGACACACAGGTGAGTCATGAAGCACCTTGGCAGACAGGGAGGAAAGGCAGCGCTGTCTCATCTCAGCATTCCGGGAAACACCACGGCATCTGTGAGAGGCGCCCTGGTACAGCGATACTGAGAGATGCTCAACGTGGTTGGATATTTATAGTATATGTACACATATTTAAGATCCTTTTAGTTTAAGTTATGAATTGTACATCTCAAGATGTAAATTAATTTCTAGTTTTATGATAAGAAATTTCATTGAAATAAATCTGTGAAATGTTTCATCAGTGCAGAACAGTGGAATGTTGAATGTCAAATTTAGCACAAATGTATTTAGAAGAGAATTGTTCAATAAAAACTAGAAACCTATTGTATTACAGTTCCTTCTGAGGTTTTTAATTCTTCAAGCTTAGCTGTCTTGTAACTCCCATTTGGGGATACAACAGGTTTGATGTAAATGTGTGAAATTTTAAAATGTTTTAGTCTCTTAATGCCATTTCTTTACTTCCCGTCTTTAAAATTACCTGAGACCTTAAAAGCTGCAGAACTCCATCAGGTCCATTAGGAATCGTGAATAAAGTAGAATTTTTTAATGAATTAATAAATTGATAGCATGGACCAGTTCTAGACCCACTGTTTTATAGTGAACATTAATTTTGGAATTTAGGTTTAAGAAATATTTTATACCAAAATAAAACTTAAATTTAAGAGGGGTTTCTTTTTTTTTTTCTAATAATATCTATAAGTAGGCATTAAGTATTATAAAAAAGTTTCCATGAACATGGCTTCAGGGGTATTTCTCTATAATTAAAAATAACTGCTCTGTGAATTAACAGCTGTTTTTTTATATGGTGCTCTGGTCTAGTCCCGAGTAATGTAGTCTGGCTGGGTCCCCCTGCTGGTCACCAGTGAAAGTACACTGGTGTCTTTGTCTCTACTTGCAAAGAATATCTGAGTATTTTTACTGAAGACTTGGTAAATTTTTCTTAAAATCCTCAATCAATTAAAGATTTGATGTGAAAATTAGTAGTTCACTAGCTAAAAATGTTACTCCCATTTTCATCTAGCAGAAAACCCGTCTGCCAGCTGATTTTCTATGGCTCACAAGCTAAGAATGGTGTTTACAGATGAACACTGCAATCTGTTTGACAACAGAGAACACTAACTTTGAACCCCAATTAAGAGAAATGTTATCCTCTCTCCGAAAAGAACTCCATTCTTTGAATTAGTAGACATGTGTTGTAAGACTTTGATTACTATTATTGTATTTTGAATCCATTGATAAAATCTTTGGGAAATTTGTTTTCTCTTTGTTATATAAGTATCTACTTAATATCCTCAATTTTTACCTCTGCCTACAAAGCCTAAAACATTTGCCTTGTAGTCCCTTACAGAAAAAGTTTGCCAACCCTCGATTTAGAAGGTATAAATGTCAGCAAGTAAGAATAAAAATTGAGAAAAATAAATTACGGCAAAACTCACTTTTTTATGAATCTGTATACTATGTAAATTCTTGTATTAATGATATATACTTATTCTTTTGCAGAAGGAACTTCCTTCCAGTAAGTATACTTTCTTAATTCATGCTTTCTCCCATATCAACTACTTCTTTGTTAATCATCCATTTAAAGTCAAAAGTGAGAAGTTGAGTTATTTGTATGGGTTTAATTCTATGGGAAGTGATTCAGATTCATCAGGAAACACATCCTACCTCATGCCTACTTGTTATTTATGTTTAATTACCTACAGAAGAAATACAGTCGCTCCTTTGACTTCGTAGGCATTTCTGTAGTACTACTTAAAAATGTTTGTTTTTTCTGTATTTTGCTAAATTTAAAATGTTCAAATAAAATTTTCCCTAACAGTCATTTTTACATTTAATTGAATACCAATTATGTGCCCAACACTGTCCCAGGGACTGACAACACTGCAGTGAATAAAATAGGCCAGAGAAAGCCCTCTGCCTCATGGAGCTTACAATCTACTAGAGAGGCAGAAAGCTAACACATATGTGAACTCTACAGGATGTCAGGTTGTGATAAGGATTATGGAGAAAAGCAGGTAAGAGAATAGAGAATGCACTGGGAGGAGTGGAGACTGTCCTTTTAAATAGGGTAGTTAGGCAGAAATAGACTAACGGACACAGAAAACAATCTGTTGTTACCAGCGGGGCAGAGGGGGTAGGGATGGATTAGGAGCTTGGGATTAATAGATACACATTACTGTATGTAGAACAGATAAACAAGAGACCTACTGTATAGCACAGGGAACTATGTTCAGTTTCTTGTAATGAGCTATAATGGAAAAGAATCTGAAAAAATATTTATATATATATGTATAACTGGATCGTTGCTGTACACATGAAACTAACATTGTGAATCGACTGCACTTGAATAAAAAATAAGAATTAAAAGAAAAAAACCAGATATGGCTTATGTAAGAAGAGAACATGTGTTTCAATCTTGGTCACTAGCATAAATGCAAAATTCTAAGCACAGCATTATCAAACAGAGTATATTAGCATATGGACTATATCATCTTTGTACATAGTTAGCTGACTACTATAATCAAATGTGCAGATTAAAATAGAATAGATTTTAATAAAATTGACACATTTCACCAGAAAAAAAATTTTTTTAGAGTGGTTAGGGAGGGCCTCACAGATGAGGGGACTTTGAGAAAGGTCTTGAGGCAGGAACACCAAGGGGGCCATGTGGTTGGAACAGAGTGAGGACAAGGCAAAGCGGAGATAAATGTGCACAAGCAGTGTAGGGGGGCCAGGTTACATGGAGCCTCTTCCAGGCAGTTGTCAGGAGTTCGGCTTTGGTTCTGAGCGAGGTGGGAAGTCACTGGAGACCCTTGAGCAGAGTATCTCTAACCCAGACAATAATCTGGAGGTAGAATCTGTATGCCTAGACACACCTCCCATTTGTCAAATCCATGCCCCTCAAAACCTGTTGGATAATAAATTGGATGTTGCGTTAGTTTGTTAGGATTGCCTTAAAAGTGCCACAGACTGGTGGCTTAAAAAACAGAAATTTATTTCTCCTTGTTCTGTTCTGGAGACTGGAAGTCCAGGATCAAGATAGCAGCAGAATTGGTTACTTCTGAGGGTGTCTTTAAGACCTGTCTTCACGTGGTCTTCCCTCTCCTGTTTGCATCTCCTCTTCTCATAAGGACACCAGTCATGTTGGATTAAGGCCCACCCTAATTACTTCATTTTAATTTAATTATCTCTTTAAAGACCCTGTCTGCTAATTCGGTCACATTCTGAGGTACTGGAGGAGGGGGTGGGGTTGGGACTTGAACAGATGACTATTTGGTGCGGGCACAGTTCAGCCCATTAACAGATAACTGGAACCATAGTCACCCTGTAAAACTTTCTTTCCATAGAAATAAAATGAAATTTGAGATTATGATTACGCTTTCAAAATGATAAACGCTAATAAGTTGATGAGATAAAAGTGAAGTTTCTGGTTTGCATACTCCACAAAAGTCGTTAGTATCAAGCCCTAGGCTATAAATAGACACAAGGTTCACACATACTGATATTTCGTTGCATGGTTTTCTCTGTGAATATTGTTTATAAATAGAAGAAATTCAGTTAGACTTGCTGGGCGGGGAGGGGGGTTGTACCTGGCTAAGATAAATGTTCATCCTCCCATTGAGAAAATAGATGGAAGTAACATTAACCAAAAGCGGGTATGTGTTTCAGAATTGGCCGCGATAATGTAGTAAATATTGTCTTTTCTGTTCCACAAACAGGAAGAGCAGTTCTGCATCTAAAGCCACGACAATGAGCGAAAATGTGAGTATTTGTTGAGCATATTTATAGAACGAACGTGTTTAGGGAATTGGGCAGGAAAAAAGTAATTGCACGGAAGTGATGAATTTTCACTTTTAATATATTTTGTACTAGTGGTTACCGCTGGTCTTTAGAAGGAGCTAAATAAATGTCAGCCTCCAGCCCCCGTCTGGGAGGGACGATAAAGCTGCCCAGCATGTGTAGAACAATGGCGCTTTACCACGCTATTATAATCTCTCATGGTGTTTTCTATTATTAGTCAGCCTCCTTCGTATCATTAGATCTGGCATTATCAGCTCCACTTTATAGATGAGGCGATTAAGACACAAGTGCTCACAGGAGTACAGTGGCCCAGCTGGGACCCAGGTACCTTGATTCTTGTCAGGCTGACCAAGCAGATCGCTTCCAGCACATCTGTGGTTCCAGGACTCTTCTGTGGTTATTCAGAGCACTTAGATGTTTTAGGGAAGTGGAATACCCTGTGCCTTTGCTGAAAGGAGCATTTCAGAAATCCTTGAAAAGATGGAAGGATGATCTAATTCGGATGGGTAAGGGACCGTAATTTAGACATCCAGACCATCCTGAACTTTTGCATTTGTAAGCTCTACAGGGAAGCAGTAAGTACCATTGTTGCTCAGATTTTGTAGCTCTTTGGATGGATATTCAGCCTTCTGGACTGTTTCAGGGATACACTGGGGAAGAGAGTTTTTATGTTTTTAGAAGCTAAGTCCTTTCTTGAGAAGTGGAGCGCTGGCTCCCCGAATTCCGTGGTCCTCTACAGCAGGGATCTCTTAGCTTTCCTTTCAGTAGAGCTTGAGGTGGGGTGTGGACGTCAATATTTTAAACACTGAAGTGACTCTAATGGACACTAATGTGTAAGACCTATGTACTGCTCCATAGAGGATTTTCGGTCAAAAATTGTTAGAATTGTTGACTCCAGAATCTATCACGGAAGGCACTTTATTTCGTAGTTTACAGTACTGAACGCGTGTTATTCTTTAATTAGCAGCTAAGCAGTATGTAACTCCACATTTGCTCCTACAATTTGTGGAAAATGCTCCTTGAGTGTGGAATAAAATAACCTCATCCCATCAAACAGGAAGAGACACTTTGTGGCTGAGCTGGAAGAACAAAAGCCTCTTTCTTTTTCCTTGTCTTCCTCTCGGTTGCCCTGGTCATCAGCTGAGAGCTAGTCCCAGTGCTAGTTCGGCCCAAGAGCAGGGTTTCTCGAACTTGGCACTAAGGACATTTTCTTATAGTTCTCATGTAAAATTTATATAAGAAATGACAATTTCTTACAATTCTTATATAATGAGTTCTTATAATTTCATACAGTTCTTTGTTGTGACGATTATAGAATGCTTAGCAGCACCTGACCTCTATCCATTAGATGTGAGCAGCATCACCCCCAGCAAACAAGATTTCTCCTGCTCTAATTCCCTCTCCTACTTCTTTACTCTTTAGGCAATGTTTCAAAGATTCGTCTTCTAGCATTTAGTTATTTTATCCCCCATAAAAACGATTTAATTATGTGTATGCTGGTTTGTACCTGTGAAAGTCTCAGAGTGGATGTAGTTTTATACTCATAAGATTTATATACTTCTTTAAAGATGAACTAATGCATGATATTTAAATTCAGTTTTTCTTTCTTTTCCTAGGATTTCAAGCATACAAAATCCTTTATAATTTAAAAGAACCCCACCTTTGAGATACACCAAAACCACAGCTGTTGCCCAAGTTATTAAAAGATTATAAAACTCTGCTTTGTCTTACATTTGCAAAGAGATCCATGAGGAGATGAAATGGGTATATCATTATAATCTTTATGACTGCTAAATCACTTGAAATTTTTATTTTACACAAATAGTTCTGTCAGCACCTAAAATACAGTCTGGCTTCTTATGTCTGGACGAAGTTTAAAAGAATCAAAATACTTTGTAATATTGCGGGACTTGTGAAATGTTAAATATCCTAACTCCTAGAGGAAGTTACTAAAATATATCATGTTGGTTGTGAAATTAATCCTCAGAGCCTGAAAATATAAACTGCATGCCCCCTCTGTGCAAGATTTAGAGGGTTCGGAAAATATTCTGACAGATGCAAAAGGAACCTCTGGTCTCTTATCTACCAGGATCCTCTTTTCTCCCCTAATACAATCCTGACTCCGCTGCTCCTTTATCACTAATATATCCACAGAAGGGAGATGGCAGGACTGGGTCTTACACCCAAGGACTTGCACTCTGGGTTTACTTTCTGAGAACTGAAAGCAACAAGAAGAACATCTAATGACCAGAGCTCACTCACCAGTGTGTGTCAGTGATTTCTTCATTAAACATTGTTTTGAGTCACACACAAACGCAAGCGTCTTAGTTCACCCCGAGAGCTGCTTGTCACTACTTCCTTCCCCTAAGGCCCCCTTGAAGAGGAACGGTGACCTTGACTTCAGATGTCACCACTGGAGCCGACACACAGGACCCTGCAGGTACCTGTCCCTGTGTGATGGTGACTTCACATCTCTCTGTCTCTCAAAATCACGCAGTGAATTCTGTGTTGGCCTGAGTCCCTTGCTTTTTGGCTACTGGTCTGCCGATCCTGCTTACGGCCAAGTCAGGGATACAGAGGGGAGGAGTGGCTGTCGCACAAGAAAAATGAGATGAAGCAGCTCAGTGTGGCTCCCCCAACATGGTGCCCCGCTTGAGACTTAGAAGACACAGGAGAAATGAAGTGAAAACTGGGCCTGGTCATCTGGCTTCTCAACTGATACGTCACAAAGACCTCCAGCTAGTGTTACGTGAAAACTCCAATGACCCACGTACTAGGGAGAGCAGTCAGGCTGTGTTCAGTTAGGAATGATCATCTGTAACTTACGCTGATTATTCAATTCATATTAAAAACAAAGCATGGCTAGGGCATTTCCAATTCTAGGCAAATCTGGAAGACAAGGTCCCCCACTACCTTTGACAACTTTGAACACGGTCACGCTGCTTTGAAAGGAGCCCCGCTTTTTTCCCAATTGGCAAAGCAAATCCCCAGGATTCACTGGACAAACAACTGGATTAAGTCCTCACCAGGTGCCTAACATATGCCAGGACAGCAGGTCACTGGGAAGTTGCCTGTTGTCAGATTGCCTGCCCCCACCCTCCATCCCTGCCCCACTGACCCGTGACATTCAGTGCTTTTCAGCAGACCCCTTCCAGCATTTTCTGTAAAGGGCCAGACGGTAGATACTTCAAGCCATACAGGCCTTACGGTCCCTGTTACGACTGCCTGGACTCCTTAGCTCTGTCACTGTGGTATGAAAGCAGCCACAGACCATCTGGTCGGGTTTGTGTTATTTACAAGAACAGCAGGCACAGCCAGGATCTGGCCCACACGTGTGGTTTCCCAGCTCTTGATGGTGGAGCATGAAACAAAGCACCCATCTAACAGCTTTTGTCAGAAATTAAGCTAAATGTTGTCCATGCTTTGATTTGCTTTGGCTTGGGGAATGCCGTCCTCTGGCATCGCCGAGTACCAAGGGGATACGTGAGGCTCCAAGATGCCTCTTCAGGCATCCCTACCTGCACACAGGATCAACTTCTTCAGTGTAAATGATGCAGATCCCTATTGTGGGGGAAAAAATAAGTGGTGCCTTAGCTTTCCTAACAGAAGAAAAGCCATATAAGCTAGAGGATTCACTGTATGCAGCGTCAACGTCTAGTGTCTTACGTCAAACACACATACGTTACCTTAGAATATTGTATACGGCTAAGTAAAAATCACTGTGCAAAGAACGCTTTCTCCCACACGTAGGATATAGTGTTGAGCACTCATTTTCCAATTATTAAAAATATATCCACCTGGGTCTGGACTTGTGTTTCTCTTTGTTTTTATTTGAGGGGCTTGCACACTGACAGTTGGTAAAATCCCATTATAACTCTTAGAGCATTTTTATTTTGTTTTTGTGCAGTGAAGTTGTGTTGTGTAAGGGTGAAGGCTCCCGAATCTTTAATAGCAGGTTTTGTTTTGTTTTAATTATTATTGTTGCTGTTGTAACTAGACTTAATTTACTTTTAGTTGGGGGTTTAACCGAACTAAATCTGGAACAACTGATTGTTTTTCCATACAGCTTTGCAAAGAACTTCCTTCATCTCACAGGTGGTTTTGTTTGATTGCAGGCTACGTTAGTAAAAATAGCTGAACTTGTTCCACTTTTCGCCCCACTGACTGGTGCGGGGAAGGCATCCACCTATTGTTCAGTGAAACCCAGGAAACACTCCCTCTTACCGTCCGTGGCTACAGGGCTAGCACGTCAGCGGCTTGAGATGAGAAGCTCCTAGGACACCTCCCCTTCAACCTCAGTCATCTCTGGCCCGTCCACCCCTCCCTAATCTCACAGCCTGTGATATTTTCTGTCTTCCCTTTTCCCTCGCCCAGTCTAAATGCCACGGTGGGCCATTTCATCCCTTCACCACAGATGCCCAAATCTTTCATCTTATTTTTGTCAAGATTGAAGCTAACCACGATGAATACATTTAAATTCTATCACTACCACTACACCCTCCCTATCTCTAAACTCCATTTTTAACCTCCCGTTTATTCATGACACATTTGATGACTGTCACTACTTTTATCTCACCTTCTGTCTTCTGGGAACTTCCTTCCTCAAGTGCCCTCTCTCAGCATTTTTTTTTTCTCTGAGTTTTAGAAATAATTCTTATCATACTTAAATCCACAAATTCTATAAAAGCAGTATATTGGTAATACCATATTTTTTAATTTTAAAAATACATACACATTTAAAAATTTTTTAAATTTTTATACAATTTTAAAGGTTACTTTCCATTTACAGTCATTACAAAATATTAGCTATATTCCCCATGTTGTACTAACATCCTCGAGCCTTTCTTACTTTGTACCTCCCACTCCTCCACCTCTGCATTGTCCCCCGCCCACAGCTGGTAAACACTAGTTTGTTCTCTGTATCTGTGAGTCTGCTGTTTTGTTATATTCATAGTCTGTTGTGTTTTTTTAAATTCTACACATATCATATAGTATTTTTCTTTCTCAGTCTTATTTCACTTAGCAGAATGCCCTCCAAGTCCATCCATGTTGCTACAAATGGCAAAATTTCATTTTTATGGCTGAGTAGTATTCCACTGTGTGAGTGCGTGCACGTGTGTGTGTGTATACAAACACACACACACACACACCCCCTTTATCCAGTCATCTGTTGGTAGACACTTAGGTGGCTTCCATGTCTTGGTAACTATAAATTATGCTGTTGTGAACACTGGGGTACATCTATCTTTCTGAATAAAAGGAAAAGCAAATGAATGGAACCTAATTAAACTTAGAAGATTTTGTACAACAAGGAAACCATCAAAAGACCAAAAAGACACCCTACTGAATGTGAGAAAGTATTTGCAAATCAAATGACTGATAAGGGATTAATATCCAATACATAAAAACAGCTCAAACAACTCAACAGCAAAAAACCAAACAACCCAAATTAAAAAATAGGCAGAACTGAAAATACATTTTTCCAAAGAGGAAATGAAGATGGCCAATAGGCACATGAAAAGATGTTCAACATTGCTAATTATCAGGGAAATACAAATCAAAACCACAGTGATATATTATCACCTCACCCCTGTCAAAGTGGCTATCATGAAAAAGTACAAATAACAAGCACTGGTGAGGATGTAGAGAAAAGGGAACCCTTGTACTGTCGGCGGGGATGTAAATTGGTGCAGCCACTGTGGAAAACAGCATGGAGGTTTCTCAAAAAAACCAAAAATACAACTACCAGATGGCTGAGCAATTCCACTCCTGGATATATATCCGAAAAGACCAAAACCAATCATTCTTAGTAGCAATTTTAATCTCTCCTGTTCTAAAGGCTCCTTTCCCCTCAGCCTCTCCCTCTCCCATGCCATCAGTCCAGCAGTTACTGCGGGGTTACTCTCCTGATCATCATCAACTCCCTTCTCTTTCTCTCCCATCCCCTTGCTAAAAATCTTTCACTCTTTTCTTTTACATAACCCCTCAGAGGTCTAAACTTTTTAGTCTGAATTTCAGGGCCTCCCCCGACTCCCACACATACGGATCTGGTCATATTGTCACACCTACATGTTCCGCTACTCTCAGTTGCCTTATGCACCCATCAAACTGAACTAAGTTCACTCCATCTCAACAACCCTTTTTTCCTCCTCCTCTACCTGGAATGCAGGCTCCTAATCACAGGATATGTAAATTCTAGTTCCTCTTCATGGCTCAGCTGGAATTCCACCTTCTCTATGAAGCCTTCCCTGGTGCTCCCCACTAAAAGAAGTTTCTTTCTTTGAATTTCCATAGCACTTGATCGGTTTTCTCATGGCACTTTTGGTTTAATTTCACAATACAGTTATGTATATACATCTCCAGCATCACTACCTATCTAGAAGCACTTTGAGAAAAGAATCATGTTTTTATGTACATCTTCAGAAGCCCCGAAGTATTTAACTGTATCTAATGTGTAGTCAGTGTCTAATAAATGCTGAATTTTTAAAGATCAAAATAGCACTTCTGAAAGGGCAATTTAAAGAGTATTTATTGATAAAGTTTTTCCAGATTTAGAATATTAATAAAATGTTATATTCTGCAGTGTTATAATCTAGTTCATTTATTTTGCAGTTACACAAATTATTGCTCCTTGAATTAAGGCTGAAGAGAAATTATTTTCCTCTAATCTTACTCCTTTTAGTTATTAGGCATCAATTTCCACATAGTTCTTAAAAAGATCTTAAAATATTTCTTCACTCTAAAGTTTTAAAATATAACTTTCTATCTTGTTTCTTACTATATTATGAGCTTGGGACATTTTGGATAGTAATAACTGGTCAGGAAATTTAAGGTAAACTGTAAAATTTTATATACTGGTACTTTTATTGTTGATCCTAAGTTCGTGTGCCCCAAGCACAGTGAGGTCAGAGCAAAATATGAAAGTTTGGAGCAGAGAAAGGTTTACTGCGAAGGCCATGCAAAGAGATGGTTTGTGCTCAAAAGGCCCAAACTCCCTGAGGATTTTCAGTTTTTTAAAGGAAAAATTTGGGGTGAGGGCTTCAGGATGTGTGACTCTTCTGACCGGTTGGTGGTGAGGTTACAGGGTGATGTCTCTGGAATCTCACAACCTTCTGGTTCCAACCAGTCTGAGGTCTGTGTGCTTGTGGTCAGCAGGTAGCCTCCGTCCTCCACCGAGGTGGGGGCTTAGCTTCTGCAGAACAATTCAGACCCGCATCAGCCTGTTCCCTGGTCCCTCAGGAGGGGCCAGGAGTCCTGGGACTCTGCTCTCCTACCAACTGTTGAGCCTGCTCTTTGGAACTTGGGGAAGGCCTAGGAGGGAGACTAAAGCCGTTTTTCTCTCCTACAAACAAGAAACAGGGGAAATGAAAGGGCTTTTGTGCCAGGGAGTGCCCTGTAGGGTCCTGTTTGGTTTCACCTTCTATTTAATCTTATGTATTACTTTTTAGTATGTCATATTTTTATTAACCAAGTTTGAAAAAAAATGTACTAATTAAGACATACTAGAGTATAATGTCCTTATACTCTCTACTAAGAATATTCTCTCAAATGAATAGTTGTGTCAACAAAGGATTTGTTAAAATAATCTAAGATCACAGGCAGATGGTTTTAAAGTTCCATTTTACGATGTTTTCAACACTGAATGTGCTTCTTAAAGATGGAATAAAAATTGAGATTTTTCTTAAGATCTGTAGTTGGATTCCTAAAGTTGCCCCTGTCATTTAACTTTTCAAGTTTCTGTTCCTTCCAAATATTTAACTACCATGAATTATACTGAAGTTGCTGTAGGTCAAAAAACTTATTTTTCTCAATTTCAGGATAACATATAGCAAAGAGAATGAAAAAAGTTTTATACATAAAGATACGATATATTCATGAAACACATTGTTGATTGGGACTTCTTCTATTGCTGGAAGGCTGAAGACAAGTACCTCACTTTATAAAGAAACCCATAAGTGATCTGGGTATAAATACCTGCTTTGATGTTTAGGAAGAGACAGTGGTGCTACCCTGAAATTATTACCCTGGTCCTCTCCCCTTCATCCCACCACACAAAGTCCATGAACTTTTATAAATTGATACTTTCATTATGTGCAGGGCTGAACTGGGGCTGGGGGGCGAGGAATGGACAGACACAGAGAATGAAGTGTCCAAATTGTGTTAGTTTGTCAAGTTGTGAGTTCTATTCCCCAACTCATCCCCAAGGCTAGTAAAGAGAATTTTAAAGAGAATCACCAGCAAAAATTGAAGGCACCTGCCAAGAAGCAACTAGCTATTTGAGCAGTGAAGGAGAGTTGGAAAAAGATATCCAGGGAGAGAGCAGGGGAAATGGTGAGGCGCCTATCTTCCCACAATGTCTCAGGGCAAGGATGTAGGCATCTTTGAAAGTAGCTGAACTTGAGCTTTCTTGTCATGTCTGGGAGCAAACATCTGAAACAAGAGACTGCCCCCTGTACCACTGGGGTGGGAGCTAAGGGGAGTCTGGAAGAGGTAGACTGGACTCGACCTCCCATTTAAGGTAATCTGTATAATATGGAGACTTTCGAGCCCAAAGAGCCCTCCAAGAACTCACACATTAACCACCCAACCAAAGAGAGCCAGTACTTATACAGGCCTGCTCCACCAGGGGCACCGACAATCAGAGAAACAGTAATAGTCAAAAAGAAAAAAATCCTCCATTGAATGGATTTAAGTAAGTAAAAATTGCCTAGAACAGAAGTCCTCTTTATTACCATTATTAAAGGTAGCACTGGATAGGCAACAGGCAGGGACCTGTCCGCTTCCAGTTCTCTGTACCTTTTCCCAACTCAAATCCACTCTTCTTGTAAGAACAGTCTTCTTAGAACTCCAGTCAGACTGGATTCAAGCTCACCCCAACAACCTCATTTTAACTCAATCCCCTTTAAAGGTCCTACCCTCAGATACAATCACAGTGTTAAGTTCTGAGAGTTGGGGCTTCAACGTCTGAATTTTAAAGGAACACAGGTCAGCCCACACCACCAGGCAGGGGAGAAAAATGCCATTTTAAACAGCTTAAAGCCTAGAAGGTTGAGGTTACTTTTAGTAACACATAAGGTGGCCCCAAATGGTAAGTGCAGGATGAGCAGCACACTGACAGGCTGAAGTGACAGACAAAGGCTAGAGGTTGCATATTTGGGGCAACCTCACCAGAAAGAGGAAGGCGCTCTGAAGATGAGGCCTTGGTTAACATGCATGACTTGAAGCACCACTATAGCATTCAGTTGGAAAAAAACAGAGCATTTCTTGGGCCAAAATCAACTATAGACACATAACCCTATGATGCAGTGCACAAGAGGAAGGTGCTTAACACAGTATTCTTGCAGTCAGCCACGAATCGAGTCCTTCTGCTGACATAAAGAAGAGACTGTGATGTTCAAGCAAACTTCAAATAGTTTTGAGACAGATTAAAAAAAAGATGTGAAGAAATACATATGAGATGATAAAAGGTAAAATTCAACCAAACTCTTGAGTAGGAGAGGGCTGCATGCATGGAAAGGGTCGGTCCCTTCTCTACTTCGACTGGCAGGGGCACTGCTGACCCCAGGCTGCTGGCCGGCCGCAGTGGGGTGGAGCAGAGCCATTTCAGGGCAGGTCAGAGAAAGGACCTGAGCTAGACCGCCTCAGGTACCTTTCATGGTGCCGGAACCCAACACGGAATTCCACGTCATCGCCTACAGGGACTTAAGTGAAAGTACTTCCGCTGACCCTCACTGCTTAGCGTCATTTGAAGAAAACTGGGTGGTTTCCTCCTACTACTGTACTGTCCCCAACTCCACTGCTTCACATCTTACTGTTTAACCACACTCACATTATCAGGAAATATTTGTGGATCTTTTGAGAAAGGTATTCCTCACCAGGTTTGACTTCAGCTAATATGGCACACCAGACTGAAATATACTTTTTTTTTTAAATTGAGGTACTGGGGATTGAACCCAGGACCTCATGCATGCTAATGCATGCTAAGCATATGCTCTGCCACTGAGCTGCACCACCTTCCCTCTTCTGAAGTGAGCTAACCTCACAAGGAAGGCTGTTTTTCAGACTTGACAGTTTTAAAGAAAATCTCTAAAGCTTTATTAAAGACCCATATTTACTGACCCAAGTCAGAGACTGTCAGATACAAAAAGACACAGCTGTTTTCCCCCTTTAAAAAAAATTATTAAAAATAATTTCCTAGAGAGCCGCCTAAATTTTGATGTGCCTGGTACGCCACTTACCTGGCACATTATCTGCTGGATCTTCCATCACTTGGGCAAAACACCACCTTTCAGCTTAATCTTTTAAAGGAAGTTCCTTGTAGAACCCTTTTCTCCCCTGCCCCCAGCTTCCCACTATCCACACGGCACTCAAACAGACTCTATGACCAAACGCTGCAAAGGAAGAGGAGGGGTCTGGGTTACTGGGAAAATAACAGCATTTAACATACGAGGAGGTGGAAATTAAAACACAACGGACGTTCCTGTACACACTCACAGTCACACCAGAGCTTCCTGAAATATCAGCCCTCCACAGCAGCGAACATTCCTAAAGTCAGGGTGGCTCCCCTCAGGCAATCAGTCTCCACAACAGAAAGGATACCCGGCACACTGAGAAGAGTCTGGCAAGTTACAGGAAAGTTGTAAGCAATTACTCCAAGGTCTTCACCTGCTTTGTTATAACAAATGGGAGGATCTAAAAACCCAGAATTCAATACACTCAAGCATACATCCAACATCACCAAATAATTTACTTGGAATCAGAATTAAAAGAACATTTGATAATTGTGAAATGTATGTTTATTCTGATACTTCTGATCAGCTGTATAATTAATCTAAGACAAATTACCAGAAAAATTTTACATTCTCTCTTCAGGACTGTGGTTTTTCAACAGCTTCAAATTTGGGCTCTAAGAAGAAGGAAAAAAAAATGTTCAAGCTTAGCTACGCTGCAATAAAATGCATTTTCTGGAAAGATTCACTATTTAATTCATCAATCTTCTGATTAAAAAAAAATCCACATGGAAATGTAACAACTGCTTAATATTTATTCAGGCTCTCTATTAATTAAGTTTACATATATTATGTCATTTAACTACAACTATCATATGAGGAAGATAGTATAATTCTCTCCAATTGTCAGATGAGAAACAGGTACCAGAAAACTATTCAAAATCACACAGCTCATGACTGATATTGTCAGAATTCAAAATCAGGGAGTTTGATTTTAGATTCCCACCAGTTAACCTCTATGTTATGTGATCTCCTATTCCAAAAGTGAGCATTTATCCCAGAGCTTCCCATGCACAAGTCACTGTCCTAATAAATTTGCATATAATCGTCATTTAATCCTCTAAACAACCCAAGTAAGTAAAAATATTCTCCACTTAAAATCACCTCCCACAAGAATGAATCTGTGACTAAAAAGACTTACCTTCAAATGTGAAGTTGGGGAACGTATTCATGTCTGCTTTGCCATACATTTGCTTAAGCTTAAAAAGCTCCCTGTCCAGTTCTTGCTGATATTCTGCGCCAGTATCAACAGGTCCTGCAGATGTCCTGTTGTAGAAGTAAAAGCTTATTTCAAGCATTAGTTTACAAAACCAAAATTACTTTTCATAATCAGGTTTCATAGATCTAAATGTAGAGAAAAACAGACTTTTTTCAAGTATTTCCACTTGAATTTCAATTCGAAATATTTTAAATATGAGGAGGTCTCACATAAATGAGGCAGCTTTAAACAAACCTGTAACATTTAAGGTTTGTTAGTATCAAGGATACTTATTACTCTCTCAGGGTCCAAGGTGCAGTAAGGTGTAATGGCTAAGTCTGCGGGCTCTGGGGTGAATGACAGCTCCATCTCGACGTCAGCTCTACAATTTAGTAAACTGTGTGAACTAGAGCAAGGCATGACACACTCCAAACTTTAGTTCCTACACCTACAACTGCGAGTCTCACCTGACAGTGGTGTTGAGAGAATGAGAGATTCATCATGCACATGTGCCACTCAGCTCAGTGCTTGGCACACAGGGGGCACTCAGTTACCCACTCCCACTGTGACTTAAATCAACCACCACAGAACGGATTTCAAGAGATCTTAATACCTCTAAGTCTCTATAATGGGGGCCTAATAAAGAAGCAAATTACTCCATGTACTCGGAGGTTTTGCCACTTAGAAGAAAAAAAATAACATTTATAAACATTTACGCTGTAAGGGAATTAGGTGAAAGCTTCAAAAACACGTTTTAACAAAAAGCTACTCGAGTTGAGGGAGTACTTTCGCTAAGCTAATCAGGAAAATTTCATTTTAAAAAGGTGGCATTGGTGACAGACCAGGCATTTGAGTCAGATTTAATTTGAGATGATCGAAGACTGAAAAACCAAGGATGAGGATGTGATAAAGCACTGGCGGTATGTGGAGAATACTAGGCAGTCTGGATGGAAAAGCCAGCAGGACCGGGACCACGGGAGGCCGGAAATGCTAAGCCTGGGAGTTTGTATTTTGTTTGCTAAGCAATAAAATAGCAAAATTAGAGTTGTACTTTGGGAAGATCAATACAGCATCACAGACCAGCCGTGGGGCCAATTAAATCTAATTAATTATTTGCACAAATTCTTCTGTTTGTCATAATGTTACTGCCCACTTATCAATGAACAATGTAATAAATAAAAAATTTACAAGTGCAAATTCCATCAAGGGTAAGTATTTTCACACATATCTATGATAAAAGTATAGGATCCTATTTATTCATACAAAATTTTCACAAAAAAATACCCAGCCAGCTCTAATTTAAGAACTTGTTAATGATGTTTTTTGTCATGGATCCAATTTTCTTCTACGTCAGTATGTGCACTAGAACTTTCCATAATAACAGAAATGCTCTGTATCTGTGCTGTCTAATACGGCAGCCGCTAGCCAGATAGCCAGTGAGCACTAGAAATGTGGCTTAGGAGGCCACGAAACTGAATTTTTATTTATACTGAATTAGAATTTGAATAGCCACGTGCAGATAACAGCTATTGAGATATACAGCACAGTTCCAATTGAGCCTTCAACCACTTTAATGACTGTCACCCAGCTCTGGTATCCACAAGCTTCTAGAAACATTCACTCTTCTAAGCTGCCTTCCAAAAGGCACCAGCTAGAAAGGAACATTCCTTCCTATGAACTCCCAAACATTGAATGTGTCACCAGCCTAGCTTCTAACTTATTTTACCTCACTCTGTATTTACTTGCTTACAAACTTTCTACCCCATCAGACTTTAAGAATACGGTGGAAACACAACGTGGCATCTTTCTTTGTGGCCCACCACTGTTAATACTCCAGTGCTTTGCACGTGGTAGACAACTAAATAAAAGCAAATGAAACTGAATTGATCTATTATCACTTTCCAAAGACTTGGGGGTTGAACCGATGATGCCTAAGGTTATTATTCATCTCCAAAATTGTGTGGTTCTATAATCATGTTTTTCCTGGACTTGCTTTATGCCATTTTAGTCTTCTGCTATTCCCAGAAATATATAACTATGGAAATAACATTAAAGGAAAAATACTGTGTTTATAAGTTTCCCCAAAATCATGATGTCACAGAAAAGACACTAAACTGAGTTAGAATATTTGCTTTAGAATAATAATCGCTTTACCCACAATTAATTTTATGACCTTAGTCTAATCAATGTCTAAGGGGCTTAGTTTTCTCGTATATAGTTCCCAAATGATTTCCAAGAGAACATGTACTTGTATAAATTGATTCTAGTTTATAATAAATGATTTTATATAAATTTTGAAACTCAGAAAGACCCTCATCTTCTCTTAGCGCACCTACCAAATCTTTATCAGGAGTCAGCTCAATGAAGGTCTTAGACACTTGCAAACACCGAGTAATTTTTTATTACCATCTCAAAACTTACATACTTTGAATACTCATGTTTACATCATGGTTGATTATCTATCCACTTACTGTCGCTTATTTCTATATTCTCTAATCTTGTCCACGAAGAGCTTCTGAACAGGATCAAGTTCCTTATTAAATGCCACTGCTGTAACACCAATGTTCCTCCTCAAAGAGACCGAGACTGCGGCCTGAAGGACAGAGGAGAGCCTGAAGAGCCTCTGAAGGATCATGGTGATTCTGTTACTGGAAACAAGCACCAGAAACTTAAGAAACTCTGGAATACATGTAACTGTAAGACACCTCTAAATATGCTATAATGGGCATTTCATTCTACTAACTGCTACAGAACTTAAGTCAGACCACAACCCAGTGAATACCCAGAACAGTCACCCCACCATAGCTCCCTTCCCCTCTCTACTCCCCAGTGCAAGTTTTTTGCTTCTTAACCAAAAGGCCTGAGGACCCAGCAGCAGTTATGAAGCACTCAGGCCTGTGTGCAGCTCCACTAGAATTAGATGCAGAAAGAAAGCATGAAACCTGGGTCGGAGTGTTTCTTCTCCATGACTTTAGTCTTGAAACAGAGGAAACAGTCGAGTTAAGATGTTAGAAAACTGTCTACCCTCAGCAGAAAAAGAACAATACTGATTAACCAAATTAAAGAACCAGGTTTCTCTAACTCCCTCAAAAGGCAAAATGGGGCTGGGCAGGGAGACTGGAGATAGTTGCCTCAACCTCATTTTCTACTTCACAGGCCCAGAGAAAGGGAAACAACTCTGCCTGTTACAACTGTAGGATTCCAGGCATTAAGAATACTGTAACAATCAAATCCAAGTCCCACAGAACCAGCAACTAGTCCAAAGGAGCTCACCAATAACAGAGGGAAAATCAAACAGTACGACCTAATCAGTGAAATAGAATTTGTGAAGGAAGTCTGAATTTTCAAAATAAGGACTTAGAGACTTCCAAGTCCTTAGACTTACCGAAGCTAAAATACATGATTTTCTAACTAAAAAATTTCAGTAGATAAATTAGACAATCTCAGTTGAGATCTCATTTACTGTCTTGAAAGATCAAATGCAAAAAACACAATTATATGTAGAAAGGAATTCCAAAAAAGGAATAAGGAGACCATAAATAATTAGAAGAAATTTCCCCAGATTAAGAAAGACTGAGTCTATTACACTGAAAGGGATTACTAAACCCTATGTAGGGAAAAAATTTTTTTTAATTAAAAAAAAATATGGAAACTCTGTACTCTCCACTTAATGTCTCTTAAACTTAAAACTGCTTTAAAAAATAAAGCCCATTAAATAAAGAAATAAAGACATAAAGAAATAAATCCTATGTTGGAATGATGATAAAGATTCACACTTCAATATAGCCTGGTAAAATTTCTGAACCTTAAAGAAAGTGAAAACCTGACATGCTAACATGATTCTCCTGGCTTCCCCCAATTACCTAAAAGCAATAAAACGATAACCACTGTCATACTAACATTGGGCTGCTATTAAATTACAATACTACTGCTCAAGATGCGGTCTGTGGACCAATGGTCGTACTGTTACTGGTTTATAGGAATACCAAAATGGGAATGAGCATTTAGAAACTTTTGCAGCAATGTGACACATTAATTTATATCTGCTGAACTTAATAATAAAAATTAGAGTTCATATTTTGTGTCTTCATTAACCTTAGAAGATATCTGGCAACGTCTGAAGACGTCTGGGATATGGGTGAGTATTACTGGCCTCTAGTGGGTAAAAACTGAGATGCTGCAAAACATCCTGTAACAGTTACAGTAATAGTAACAGCCTACCTACAAACAAAGAACTATCTGATCGAAAATGTCAACAGGGCCAAGGTTGAGAAGCCCTGAAATGGCACATAAAAACCACCAAAAGAAATCCTACAATCAACAAAATATCCTTCCCCTGCCAGGATGAAAGCAAAGTATCTGAAGAAATTAAAGAACTCATCATACATCACTCTTACAACCCATCGGAGAAAAATACTTGAGAAAGACTCCAAGCAAAAAACTAAAGACCTTAAGATGCTACTTAATCATTCCCATTTTACATATACAGAAACTAAGGCTTGGAGGTTAGTACCTGCTCCCAGTTCACACAATAGAAATCCGACTGGACACAAATATATTTTTGAAATTGTTCAACTCAATGTATATTTTCCCTTTTGACAACTTAAAGACACATTTAACACTCAGCAATAAGATCACCTAACATTTGCTCAGCTCTAGGTATTCTGTAAAGTACTTCCATACATATTCTCTCCTGTACCCTTATGGCAATACTGTTAAGAAACACAGGAAGGCGTTAGCCCTCCTTTACAGATAATAAAGCAATGTTTAAGAAAGGTTATTAACTACCCATATTTCCAGTTAATTTACTCTAAGTCTAGATGATGGCAAAGACCATGTTATTCCTACTGCAACATGAGTACAATCCATCTTCTTGTTTTCTAAGTATTAGATGATTCCCAAATCACACCTCGACTTTCGGTCTTTTTCCTGAACTCCAAACCTATACCTTCAACATCTCTCATCCTTTCATAAGTCTTTACAGGGACCTCAAATTTAACTTACCTAAAAAAATGAATACATAACCTATCAAAACTTGTTCCTTTTCCTTTATTCCCTTCCATTATTTGCCCCACTGATTAAATATCTAATCAGTAAGACACTTGTTATTACACTATTAGATATAAAATACCCACCGTGATTAAGTTCCCTATTCCATTACTCTGGGGGGCCGCGCCAGCCTGTGACAAGAAATTTGATACAGAAAAACAGGGGAAAGCAATAGAACGGCATGGCATGCGCAGAGGCCTGGTGGTGAGTGGGAGTATGCATCCTGCTTACGGTGATGACTAGCCAGACAAAAGTTAGGCCCTTCGCTGCCTCTTCTGCACATATTCCTGAAGTCAATCCAAAATGCACCTATGTCCCGCTCTTTTTCCGTTTTGGAAGCCGTGTTGTGTTCGCATGCGCAATTTGGCCTCTCTCCCAATTAAAGCAAAGTCAGCCACTCTACCCCAGCTAGCGTCCCGTTCGTTAGGGCTTCCGAGGAGTGTGATTGTGCAGGGCAAGCGAGATTGGCTGGGATGCAAACTTTTAAGATTACTATTACCCTTTCCCCTCTTTCTGCCTTAAATTCAGAACACTCTCCCGCGAGCCCGTTTCGCAGGCCTGGCTGCAGACCTGCCCCGTGGGCATGACCTTGGGCTGCCCTAGCCCGGCCGCGCGGGTCCAAGAAACGCCGGCCTCGCCGCTTCCCGCACCACCCCGTTTGCCCTCAGAACGGCATTATCACGGCTGTCTACTGAGTCCGCCGCAAAACTTCAAGGCCTAAAGACGCCGCGGTCAGCAATGACCAGGGGCCAGGCCACGAAGGTGCCCCGGACAAAAGGCTGCCCTCTCTTCCTGAAGGACAGAGTTAATGGATATCCCAGACCCCGAGAACAAATCCAGAATCCAAGTCCCAAGAGGCCAAGTTAGTCCAGCTACCCTCCCAGTCACCTTGCACGAAGTCCCGAGCTGCCAGAGCCGCCGCCGCCGTCCTACTTCCGGCCCTGGCTCCGCCCCCACCCGCCATCGCAATGCATTATGGGCCGCCGTTTCAGTCGGTCGACACTCACCGGACAGGAAGCGTCTCGGAGACAGTCTGCGACCGGACGGCTGTAGGTGAGACAGAAACCAAACAGGAGGAGGAAGTGGAGGGTAAGTGCTTCCGGGTCCCCTGGCGACGCCTCCGCCATCTTTCCTTTGCCCATCTTGACCCGCTCTGTTTTTCCCTCTCGGAAACCTTGTTGTGTACGCATGCGCACTCGGACTGGCCTTTCCCCTAGTTCAGTTACTCTCCCACAGCCCGCCCCGAATCAGCGTCCTACTTCTTGGGGTGGTGAAGTGCACGCTTTGTGCAAAGTGACAAGAGTGTGAAACAAAGCGGATTGAGGCGTTGTGCTTCCTTGTGCCTCGCGAGCCTCCGTTGCCTCGGGCGTTCGTTTCGCGCAACCTGCTGGGAGTTGTAGTCCCGGACCCGGGGGTGCCTGGGAGGCGGGAGGGGGGGTTGGAGTTTCTCAGCGCCGTTTTCGCGGGAAGGGCCCAGCGGCCTCCCACTTCGAGCCGCGGGAGCTGCGGGTCTTACCGGGAGAGGCGCTGCACGTGGAGCCCGCGCCGCTGCCGT